GGGGGGGTAACACCCACCGACACGCCGCAGCAAGGCAGACGACTGCTGCTCCAAATTTGCCTTTCTCCAGATCTCCATTCCCCGGACAGGGCTGGTGGTTCCTTCCCGCCGCCCCTCGGGGCGCCCTCTCGTCCCGGGGGGCTTCTGCAGCCCCGACAAGGGCTGGGGGTCCTGCCTGGCTCAGGCCACGCTCCTCCCTTCGAAGCCGCACAGGCACGGGCACGCTTCTTTCCAGCAGACACAGCATTTGCCCGAGAACTCTCCAGAACTTTATACGCTTCAGTTTGACACCACATACATTTAGCTATAATAGTAAAATCAGTGGGACCATTAAAGCAGATTATGCACTAATAATTATGCAAATATTCCTTCAGTGAAACTATAAAAATCTCATGAAGATTTAGCACATGGCTATTACAAGGAGAGAAATATGTGGAAAATGAAAATGAAGATCATCATTAACTTTAAGGAGTTAGGGGAATTTTGGGGCTATCATTTAAATACATGATGTGGGATGCCTTTGCAGGTTTAACCTGGGGGAGATGATTAGTTATAACAGTGCTGAAATACAACTGCAGGATGAAAATTTGGGCTGCCTGGAGAAACGATTGCTGGAAAAAATAGAGCTCACCTGTTTTGTCCTTTTAGAAAGAACTTAAATTTGGTATTAGGGCATTTATAAAAAGCAGGATAACATTTGTGTTCCTATCAGATAGAGCTAAAGGGAATATCCACCTTCCTGTTTCAGGGCATAGATTAGTGGTTGGAAGAAATTACAAAGGGGGTTTGACCACTTCCCCCCTCCAGTTCCCTCGTTTTCAGCGCTGGGTGGAAGAGCAGAGACGCGCCGCGGCTCCGAGGGCAGAACAAAGCGAGTAACTTGCTGCCCCACAAGCCGCAGCAGCTTGGTATTTCACTGTGGTGGAGGTTATGAAATGATGCGATATTTGATGAAGAGACCACCCAAAGGAGCAGATTCATTTCAATTTATTGAAGCTGGGCTCAGCATCCAGGTAACGCTCGGTACTTAATTAACTTCAAACATGCAGGACCCACAGGAGTGCAGATGCCACAGTGAGAGGCGAGTCTTCAAAGCTGATGGAGCTGTCCTGATTGATAGGGGGAAAAAAAAAAAGGTTGTTTTTTTTGTTTGTTTGGTTTTTTGTTTTTTTTTTTTTTCAGTGATTAAGTATTAGCTTGGGCATGTTGAAGGCAGAAACCTGAAGCGCATTTCACTCGTCGGCCCTGGCGTGGTCCCCGGTACTGACCCGGCCTCTGCCGGCGTGGGGAGCCTGCACGGCTTTCGGAGGTGCCCGGCGTGGTGCTGTGAGCAATCTGCTTCTCCGGGGGGCTTTGGCTGTCCCATCAGTCCACGGAGAGCAACAGGAGAGGGGAGGACACTGCACATGCGGCCAAGGGCACCAGTAAAAATTTAAAGTGGCTGAAGAGCTGTCACTGCTCCCCACGTCGGGTCCCCGCAGCACAGGGTACGCAGGCGCAGAAACAACCCGGTACACCCGGGAAGAGAAGGGAATGGTCTCACTCAAGTTTTCTTTGCTGGGGAGGCATATTGTGCAGCCACAATTAAACTGCCAGTTTTTAGTTCTGCATTGTTAGCTGAATTTATTTCTCATCCACAGTGCTGGAAAAACAAACATGTTTGTGAGTTAGAGGTAAGTACTAACGCTGCCGTGCAGCACGGGGCAGGGCAAGCAGCATGAAGCAGTGGCAGAGGTGAAGAGTTGGAGGATGTTCTCTGGGCAGTGTGGTTTGCCCCAGCCATAAAGGGAGGTATTAGATACGGCACGAGGATGTGAGTGATTAACCATATATGAAATTATGAGGAAAAACCTTCAGTCTTTTGTGTTGGCTAAAACCTGAAAAAAATGCATGAAGAGGCTGGTGAAGGCTGGAAGGATTTCTGTGGATAATTAGATCAATATATTAGATTTGTGGACAGTTTAAGGAGCTAAATTGTAATGTAGTGACAAACGTGGCAGTAGCTGTGTGGGATAATTGCAGTGAGAACAGCCCTAGGCAGGAGACAAGGCTGGAGGGAAAAGCAGGGCTGAAGGAATCTGCATTTTAGGGAGGCAGAGCTTGTTGCTGCTGCAGTCAGGGACCGGTTTGCCCTTAAATAACAATTTTACCATGAAATAAGAGAGGGCTCTTGGGTTTGGTTTTGCTTTAGGTTTTTCTTCTGTTGGTTTTTGGTTGTTTGGTTTGTTGTTGTGGGTTTTTTTTTCCTTTGGCTGGTTTTTGGTTTGTTTTCTTCCTACACGCATGGGCACCAGTGGCAATTCAAAGCTTAACTCGCAGGGGCTGTGGCACCGGCGGTGTGAGGTCTAATTGCCCCAAAGGATGGCAGAAGGATGTCACCACCATCCTCCCCCCCGCCCTCCCCTTCCGAGCAGCCTGGCCCCCAGTCCTCTGGGTTGAAAGGCTGGGCGGACACGTCCAGGCTAACACTGCCGTTAATTGAGGGATTATTAGAGTGGAGACACATTTTTAATCCTTCTAGTGCTGCCTGTGCAGGCATTGACCTTCCCTGTCCCCCCTCCCAGGCTGTACGTCCCCGTCTCACCGTGTAACGCAGCAGCCTGGCAGCCCGACGGCGCCAAGCGTCGCCAACCTCGTTGTCGCTGTGATTATTATTGCCGAGCTTCGGCCTTGCTGCACCCTTGTACCCGCTGCCCTTTGCCTAAAGCCATGCTACTTCAGCTCTCACAGGTTTAGATTGGATTAACTCATTAATGCAAAAGGCCCGGGAGAGATCTGGGGGCAACTGGAAAAACGATGTTTCTCTCTCTCATGGCTCCATCCCACGTGGTTTCCCTACACACACGCCACAGGTCGCCTGAGCATTTTTTACACCTTTTTCCATCTGCCTGTCATACACCCTCAAGAGCACAACATAAGCAAAATCCTGTGGTTGTTCCCAACGCTCCCAGTAAGACAGAGAGTGTCTTATGGCAAAGGAAAGGCGGGGGGGTCAGATGTAATGGGCCTAATGAATAATTATAAATGGATCAAGACCTGTTCTTTGGGGCTAATGATGAAAATAAAAGCTCACAGCTACATGAGTAGTGCCATTTATTTTAGCACCGGTAATAGCACTAAACTACATACTATTCCCAATACATTATGTTAAAATTACACATATTAGATGTCTTTATTGGATTGTAAAAAATAATTGGACTAGCTTAATAACAACTTCAAGTAGCACAAGCAAGATCACAGAGAAAGCAGAAATTACATTTTCGATACGTGTCTGGGGGCGCCTGCACCCTGTCAGACGTCCTGGAGGGGACGGTGCCACCGCAGGCTGCTCATTTGACTTGGGGGTCGATGTCTGTGACTAAGTAAAAAAGAAGGAAACTGTGGATTTACCTTCGGGGGTACAGCCAGGGTCACTGCTGCCGCGTCGCTGCGTACAGCCCGTGACACACCTGGAGCCCTTCGGCTGTGGCTGCTCGGGTGGGGTGCAGCTTGTCTTCGTTTTACCTCAACCATGAAGAGGAATAAAGGCCGGGGGGACCAAAGTTAATAATGACGTTCGGGTCAGACGGACTGGAGCCACTGCGGTGCTGTGCAGAGGGGCTGGGGGGTTCAGGGAGCCCCTGGCAGTCAGTGCGGGGTGGTGGCAGAGCACAGCTCGGGGGGTCCCTTCCCCCCGGGTCCCTTCCCTCCTCAACACCAGAGCATCTCTGTCCCTGACAGCATCTCCCCCCTGAGGGTCCTGGGGAGACCCCGGACCCCCCGGCTCAGCGCAGCGCTGTCGATACCCGACGCTCCGACCTCCAGGACTTCAGGATCGTGGATGAGGCCCAGGACGTCGGAGCGAAGGCAGCGACGCTACGATCAGTCGTGCTCAGCAGCTCAGCAAGTCCATACGCTAAAATATGTTTGCGCTGACGTGTGCTAAATGATTTTTGACAGCCCAGTACTGTCTAAAGCTCGCGGAGCTCAGTGAACACCTCCCAGGCAGTTCGAGGGGTTAAATCCCCAGCAGAGCTTCTTCCCGCGTTCCTTCTGCTGCCCAGCTCTATTTCATGGGTAAATGGACCTTCGCAGGAACCGCAGGTATCGGCTTCCCAGTTCCGTCAGCACTAAATCTTGAAATCAGGGGATGTTTTGCTTCAGTAAAGACTAAATAAAATCTGATAAAAGGTTTTAGATTTAGCAGCCTGGTGCAGCACAGGCACACCTGACTGGGAGTTGGATAGGATGAGATGGTTTTAGTGCTCCTTGGCTACTGTTTACTGTGATCTCTGGGGCAAAATAACCCTGATAGCTGCGCCTCGCTTTCTCCTCCCATAAAATGGGCGTAATAATAAAAATACATCTGGAAAGATGCAAAATTTATGCCATAGAGAGGGTGTTTACAGTATTAACGTTTTTAGTGATTTTTAACAAGTCTCTGATGAAACCATTTTTCTCAAGCTTTTCTTTGGGAGGCAGCTAATTTGCATGCAGTTCAATTGCTTCCAGTTTTGTTTGTCTTGCTGTGCTTTAAAAATCCTGAGCATTTTGGGATAATTTGTCAGCCATTAGTGATATTTTTGTCATCGCAGTCCTGCTTCGTGACTCACTATTGCACCAACAATGCCATTGCGGAGCAGGACGCATTCGCAGCCTGACGAGTGCGCGGCTCCTCTTCCCGCTACGCTCAGTGGACGTTTTCTCGTTAGTTTAAACGGGGGAAGGAGCGGGTTTTTATCAGAACGTCACCAGGCGCTTAGCAGTTCAGCTGCCCGTGCTCCACCACTGCGGGAGGGGGGTTTGCAGGGCAGGGTTTGTAATTTGATTTTTATATTTCAGGTGGAGAAGAAAAACTAACGTTTGTGTTTGGAGAAAGCCTTGAGCCGAGTGATGCTCAGATGGAGTTACCGGGGCTCGTGCTGGGGTGACCGGGGCGCTGTGCTGCCACTCCCCACGTGGCTTGCAGCGAGTCATTTGGACCCAACAGAGCCCTGCTCGGGGTGCCCAGCACAGCGCACACGGACCCGGAGGGGACCTGAGCTCCTGGAGGGCTCGGCGGGGATAAGTGGGAACCGTGTGGAGCTGCGGGGCTCCAGAGGCAGCGGTGACGCCCTCACCCAGCGCCCCTCGTGCGGGGCAGGGGCTTACCCCTGATAACTCAGGTTCAGAGCTGGGTGCTGTGCCCTTTCCGTCCCAGGTAATGTTTAAGAAATAAATACCAGAGTTTGTACAGGCATCAATGCTCATTAACCACATGGCTCGCAGGATATGCAGTGCCCTGTGTCAGTACTTTCCTTCAGATATAAAAAAAAAAGACTTTTTTTTTTTTTTTCTTCAAAAAAAAAACCCCACAACTTTCCTTTGAATCTGTCGTGGCTTTGCTTTCCAGCCACAACGCGCAGGGGTGCTCAAAGGCTTGCCCAGTGCTGCAGCCCAGCTGGGCTGTGAAAAGGCTGTTTCAGGCTCACTGGTGGCTTCAAACATCATTTTCCAACAAAGACATGCGTGGGAATTACTGTTTCCATGCTGGGAGTATCTCCTCCTGCTGAGAAGAAAATGCCCTTTGGACTCAGTGCTCTAAGTGTCGCCCGGACTTGCTGTCTCAAGAGGAGTTCACAAAAGCCGGGGATCCATCCGCGCGTGGATAAACTGCCCTCTTGGCTCCTGGCTAGATGAGTTTGGTCCTTCCCTTCGGAGGACCGTGGCTTCGGTGTTCAACAGTGTGGAGCAAATTATACCCAGATTCCAGGGTTAAAGCCGTGCCAAGCACTTCAGTGGAGCCGGTCGCAAGGTTGATGGTTTTGGTGTCATTCACAAAGGTCAAGACACCTCTCGGACCAAGGGGAAGCTCCTCTGCTCTGCTCTGCGCCGCTCTCCGTGACTCTCCCACAGCCCTGGCTCTCACCCCTCCAGCTGAAGGGCTGCTCTCACCTCCCGCCTGGCATTATTTCTGTTCCTGGTTTGCTCCCCATCTTGCCGTCCTCCACCCTGCCTCTCCCTAACTGGATCTGCCTTTCCTCTGGCGAGCTCTCCCCCTCCCAGACAACGAACCAGGTTGGAAGATGCCTCCGGAGGTCATCCGGGCCAGCCTCCCCCTCACGGCAGATGAATTTCCCCTCCGGTTTCACACCCACCTCCACGAACAGCTGAGCTGCTGCTTTGTCATTCTCCCCCCAGCCATAATGATATTGCTCCCAGAGACCAGGTGGCAGCAGGAGGGATGGTTTTTTAATATACACAGCGTTCTCTCTCAGGTTGGGAAGAGACCTGATCGAAATCACAATCAGGTCCTGGCTCCCTTAATTTGGAGGGACCAAATTGCTAATTCCAGGTGGTTTTTTCCTTTGTTAAAATTCTGCTAAGCTGATGGAGTCTCTCTCGTGTTGTGGTTAAACAAGGAATGGGTGGATGAAGTATGTAGCATAACATTTATGCCTGAAGTCTAACAATTTTTTCTGGTTTTCCATTAACCTATAATGGCTTATGTATATTCATATCTAGGCTTGAAAATAAAGGGCAGAGTGGCCAAGAAGTGAGAGCTCAATACCAGTGGTGGAGACAAGATTTATATTTTAGGAATTGTTCTCTTTCAGCCCTGATTTCAATTCATCCCACCACACTTCTCTGCAAGAGGTGTTCTGCTTTTAATATTTAAAATTAAATGTTTGCAGCGTGTGCAAAAGGTGCTGAGCTGCCTGATCAGAGACAAGCAGAGCTCAGGCACCCACACTTCCACCATCAGCACGTCGGCTCTGCGGGGACGGGGACCACCCCCTCAGCCCGCAGCCCCGGCGCTGGTGCCGCGGAGCCCTGCCCCCCTGCTTCCACCACCTGCTCTCAAAATGGGTCTGAAGTGCCTTTGAGAGCTAGAGTCTGCTCTGGGTTTTAATCGTTATCCTTGAACCCAAACCTTAGACTTTGCCAAATTCAGACGTTCTTTTGTTCACATTTAGATTTCTAATCCTCAATTTTGATTTTTTTAAAATTCTTTTTCTTAATGTCTTTTATGTCACAGAAAACTGCTTCGTCTTGACTTGTGTGTCATATTTCTGGTCTAGGAGTGGGATATAGATGGATCACCGCAGAGGTGATGTGTGCCGTCAGAACAAAGTGCCCGCACTGCACAGAGAGCCTCCTCCATTCCTGCAGCTCCCTGTGCTGGGGCTGGAAGAGCGGCCAGAGAAGAAACATCGGGATGATCACGGACATCTTCATGGCTTCGAGGCAGAATTCCTTACTTAGCCCACGGGCTGGGCCGTGCAGCTCCCCCCATGACGGGCAGCGTCCCCTTCCTCTGAGCAAGCGCACGCGAGGGGCTTGGCCCGGGTCACACACACACAATGCCAAATGTCTTTTTTTTTTGTCTTTGGTTGATTTTTATTTATCAATAAAACAATACTACAAAACATGGGAAACATCTGCATTAAACACAGATCTGCTGTTACTTTGCCAGTTTTTAACCTGCTGTATTTACAGAGTTCTCCCCTACAGACTTTTGGACAGCCGGAGCCCGAGGGGCTGGAGGACGGGGCAGCCCAGCTCCTCCGCACTCCGTAGCAGCAATGGGAGTGAAAAGTCGAGCAAGAAGCGAGTATCTACCTGCTGCTTTCTGCTCTCGCACGAGACAACCTCGTTGTCTCGGTTCCCTGCAGTAGGTCTCCTCTTTGCCCTGCCCCGGGTGCAGCGGGGAGCGGCTGCTGCTGGAGGGTGCAGAGGTCTGTGTCCCACCCGAGTCCTGCCCGGCGGTGGAAAGGATCTTCCTTCTCCACCAGATACACCGAGCAAGCTGCTGAGCTCCTCATTTGCTCTGGTTTTGGGGCACTGTAGTAATTTATTCCCATTCCTGTCAAGCCCACGATGACTCGTGCGGTCGCCTCGCCCTGCCCGAAGCTGAGACCAGCGGCGGAGCGGGCGACGGGGGTACCCACCCCCCTCCCACCCAGACCTGCTCCTCTGCGTACCGAGTGCCCGGGCAGTTTGTCATTTGGGGGGGTCAGGGGTTACAGCTGGGGAGAGGCGTCCCCTCCTCGGACAAGGGTCTGGACCAGTGATGAGTCCGGGCCGTTCTTCCCACCACCTTCCAGGCACAGAGCCAGCCTGGGGCTGCTCGCCCCGGGGCTGCTCACAGGCGACTTAACTCCATCAGCGAGAAAAAGAAATATACATATCTGTGTGTATAGATATATATGTCTATATATAAGCTCCTTTAATTACATAGTTGTAAGGCAGATTAAAATCATTTTCTGATATCACCTGGTATCAAAGGGAAGCTGTCCTACTTTCCATGCACACCATACAACGCTGTGTAGGGAAGGTAATTAAGTCTTCAGTAATTATCATACAGGTACTCTAACCTGAACATCCATTGCTCTTTCACACCTGCCGTGACACGAGAAGAAGACAAGACAGTACTCAGAAGTGCTAGGAATAGCGAGTTCCTGTGCTAGAAAACCCGTGGGAAGCGGCAGAGCTGAGCCCCTGCTCGGGACAGAGCTGTGACCTCCCGGGGAGGGGACCCTGCCACCAGACCCCAGCTGCTTCTGCTTCGTCCTGCTCCTGTGCAGACTGGGACGACTGGGAGAGACGGGGGGTGAGAGCGGGGAGCTGGAGCCCGAGCCCGGGCTGGGTCGGACCAATGACTCTGGACGTTTCTTTCTCCCCCTGTTTGCTGGAATTTGTCTTCGCCTCAGCAGTCAGTAAAGAAGAACAAGTTGGGCTTTTTCTCTCGATGTAAAAGGGAAGGAGGACAATATTCCCCAGCGGTTCAGCTTCTCTTTAGGTCTGTTACTAGGGCACCAGCCAGAGCCCTGCTGAGGGGCCCTGGGCTGGGACAGGAGAGGGCCGACCGCCCACCCCGCAGCCACAACGCTCTGTAACGGGGCGCGGTGGCGGAGCGCAGCTTCTCGAGAACTGCCACAACATAGCCTAGGACAAAACAAATTTAATCATAATTAAATATAGTTGAAAGAGGTGCAGGAACAGGTAGAGCGCTACTGCTCTGCCTGGGGTCTCCTCAGCCACTGAAGGACGGCAAATCATTGTTACAAAACAAACTTTGATCCTGAATTGATTCTTTTCATTTTGTCTTTATTTGCCCAGGCAATGGAAACAGTCTAGGACATCTAACTACACCTCCCCAAAGCTCGGGGGTCTTAAAGGCCTTTTTTCCTGTGACAAATGAGTATGCTCGTCCTCAGGGGCTCAGCCGAGCTGTGCTCTGACAGGTGAGTGCCTCCCCCAAGCCCCGCTGAAACCCCACAGCACGTCTTAAAGTGAGATGCGAGCAAGTAGAGCAGCTTAAAATATTTTCAGCAAAATGTGCTGTTTTGAAAAATCCACAGTGTACTATGAAGGCATGTAGCTGTCGGAAGGAGCGGGGCTGTCTTTTGATAACAGGTGCTCAGGTTTGTGAGCAGCGGCCGGACTCGCCGGGGCTCGCCGAGAGCCCAGCCACGCCTGCCGTGGGGCGAAAAGGGTGGCCAGGACTGGGAACAGGCTGTCAGCAGGTCCCCAGAGATGAGATTATCCAGGAATGGACGGCGAGTCTGGGAAACAGGCCTGGATGGAAAAGAAGTGTGTGGAACAGGAACATGCTGAAATGTGCAAGAATGCATCCACTGCCATTCTAAACGTGAAGGATTCCAACTTCTGTTCCCACAAGTTCTCATCTTTTTAAAACTGAACTAACTCAAACAAAAAAAGAGAAAAAATGAGTGAAATAAATCATTATTAATTTCTTTTTTGTTTGAAGTGAAACATTTCTTTCATTTTGGGATAGATGAAATGATATTTGTAGCTTCACATTAAAAAAATATTTTAAAAAGAAAACAAAAAAATTCCACTTTCTGTTTATTCCAAACCGTCATTTAAAAAAAAAAAAAAAATTTGCTCAGCAAAGTCAAAATCCATTAGTCACCAAGATCTTGTCCACACACACAAGTGCCGCAGCTCCGCAGACGCCCCGAGTCCAGGTGTTCGCAGTTACCGGTTCACCTGCGGCCGTTTCGATACAAGCCTTCCGGGTAACGCAGCGTCCCCAGAGACGTCATCTCTGTCTCCGACACAAAACTGGCGGCAGCAGCAAGGGCTCTTGTTTCCTTCGTCGAAGGGCGCGTGCTGAGGCGTGAGCCGACCTTCATCGCCCCCGCCCCGCAGAGGACGAGGCTGCTGCTCACCCAGGCAGCGGGTGACGAACCCGGGTTTCAAACCCCGAGCAGGCCGGTAACCCGGGCTCCGGACCCGCGGGCAGCTTCAGAAACAGCAGCAGAACCGGCTCCGGACTAGGCGTCGTGGGCAATGTGGGCGAAGCTGGCGGTGGCGCTTTGGGGAGGGCAGGGCCCGGCGGCCGCCGCTGCTCCGGAGTCACCGGCCGGGACGGGCACGGCCCCCGCTGGCCCGTGGCTCCTCCAGCGCCGGGCGCCC